TTCAAGTTTTGTTTTCATATCGAAATCATAATTCTTTAATTAATTATTATCAATTGAATATTTGTCAATGGTTGATAATTCATTAAATTATGTCCAATTCGTACAAGTGTTAGCATTTCAATATTGAGTTTACATGACTGTTTTCTAATGTAAAATTTTTCACAATAACATTAGTCTCAAGTTGTATAGCAAGTTCTTAAAAATATCATATTACCTATCTCGTGCACTATCTAATCGACCATTTTTTAGATCTAATTTAACCAATAGTCATGCACGGAAATATGCAAGCATAGCATGATAAGATAATGTGAAAATGAGTGTTGAACTTCAATAAGAAAGAAGTCCTATATATTTGTATTGTTGTTATAGAACTTGATACAAATGACGAGTGAATTAATACACATGTTTTAGATATTTCATGAAATCTTTTAGTTTTTTCAAATATAACATATACAGTTCTTTACTATGTAATTAAACTAAAAAGAACTTTGACATGGATTTACGATATCATCGATGTAAATGAAGAATCATCTTTAGAAAAATTTATATTAGCAAATCAATTATTATTTACATGAACATGTAAATGTTCTGATTGTTCTGTTGTATTTATTTAAGTTAGTTGTATTTTTCAAAACTAAATTCATTTCATAATTTGCGTCCTGAAAATTTATGTTAAAAACAAGAATACGACGTGTGAGAAAAATTTTCATCATTATCTCTTGATTTTTCTTAAACTTGATGAGAATAAGAATATAAATGATATCGATGATGACATCATTCATTGTTTCTGTTATCTTAATGTGTTTGTCTTCCTATGCTATTTTTTGATATCTGAAAACAAATAAGATGACATAGTGAAGATATTTTGTTCACGGTCAAAAAGAAAAGGTATTAGAAGAAATTGACGAAAAATAAGCTATCAACAGTATGGAATGAAAATTTCTGTTTTCTATCTAAAATTTATATATTGATAAAACCAATACAAAGTACAACAAAGTATTATCAACTTAATATCTTTCAAATCATAATCAATGATCATGGTTCTTTTATTTTTGTTAATGTATTATTTAGATTGAATGCTTTTTTTTTTGCAGTGATAAATGACACTTAAGAACTTTAATATCAAATAGAGTAATGATATTACTGTTGCCAGAGTATGAATATGTACATTGTCGAGTATCAATGATTTTCTAATTTAATTTTAAGAAAACACACTTCCTAATTCAATTTATTCACATTAAGAAACTACTAAGAAACTATGTCGTGTTTCATCGAATGTTTCGTTTAAACACAATAAATATCAATATTTACCGTCTTTGTATATAAGCTTTGCTTGTTATATTCGTACAAATGAATGAGACTGTATTCGTTTGTATTAATTTCACAAATTTACTGTTATCCACAAATAGCGACGTTTTGTTCTGTTTTATGTACAAATCTTTGACAAAAAAATAGCCTCGATATTTTCCACTCTCGTCTTTTTCCGATACAATGATAACAAACGGTCTTATTTACAGTTTCCTATAGCGGTCTGTTTATTAAAGAACCAGATGTCAACAACCGTTCATGGATGAATTATCATTGGTACTAGTAAGAATAAATCATTGCTAAAATCAGTATATTGTTTCGTGTCAATAGATTGACATAATAAAAGCGAAATGCACAGATAATTTACAATATCGAGATTTTAATTTGACTGAACGAAACATCGTACCGATAACCGAATAAAATTTATGTTAAATAGAGATTTTAACGTCTCAAATGATATTTCAACGAGCATAGGACGAAGTACCATTCTAGAGATCATCACGATCACAAAATGTGAATTTTGAATGTGAAATTCGAGAAAGGAAATAATAAGTAAGTAGATGCCATTCGAGTTTCACTCGATCGCAAGATACAGTGCAAAACTACGAATGTCGATTTTTAAAAAACTCTGTATCTAATAGAAAACGAATAATCATTTTTATAACTGATCGTTAATTGTTTTATACCATAACATATCTAGATTTTACTGAAATAAGGCTTTTGCTTTATCTCTCTACACCGAAAAGTTTACGATTTCATCGATCAGTTGATTCAAATCGTGAAAAAAATTGACCAGTAGCCATTACAAAACTAATTACTCAGAGAACTCTACTAACACGTAACACTATGTTTCTAACGAAGACTAATATTTGTCGTTTGATTCTCTTGTTCTCTGATTCATTATCTATCATCAACTGTATCTACTACTGTTTTAGTTATAAGCAAAGATAGTATTGGTCTCCTCTTGTTGCTGTCATCGCTTTACTTATATGGAACCTTGAAAAAATACGTAGCCCACAAAAAGTTATTCTGTTGGGACACTATTTGTAAGCAACAGAACAGCCTTCGGAATATTGGAAAAAAATAATATCAGTTCGATCTCGACACTTTCACTTCGAGCTAAAACAAGTATGTACTGAGTTACTTTTCTAGAGATGATCATGACACAAAATGAAAACTTTCGATGTGTGCGTCAAGAAAAGAAGTGAATCGCTGTGAGTTCTAAAACGAAGCTCATGTTTTAATCGATGTGCTGATCGAATTTAAAACTGATGAAGGACTATACAAAGTTACAGCATTATATAGAAAATCTAAGACCTACAGTGAAGGGTATCAATTAAAATTGAATATTAAATTTCTCGTGGCATTACAAACAATATAAAAATATTATAGAACTCTTCTATTACTAAACATATTTTTGTGAGTATTGAACTTTGTCAAGAATATCTACGATATCTATTTTTGCTCAAACTCGACAATCGTAATTTTATGTAGTTAGTTATCTCCCGTAAATTTATCTTTTTTATACATAAAAAGCAAGTCGAAACAACAAAAACAAAATGGCTCACAAAGTAATAAAAATCATAGGATACATGATTTTTAGCATACTTTGAAAGGCTAAGATACAACGAGTCTCAAAATTGATCAACAAATTGTTTTTATGATTCTCTACTCATGTATTTCAACTTAACGGCTAACTGCTTTTTTTGTAATTCATATGTGAAGAAGGATCTATAGGGGGAGTTATTTTCAGAGCATACTAGTAAAATATTGAAAATAGATGATACTATACATGTGATTTTACTAGTCATTTGTTTGTAAAAGTGAAGTTTGTAAATTTTCATGTACATGCTAGTCATCTATAAGTTTTTTTTATATTCATTTATCTGCATATGTCAGACGGTACCTTGTCTGTTTCCAGATGGATTGCGTCGTTATTTATTGAAAAGTTTAGAAATGAAAGTTGGCGCATACCATCAGGAAAAAACTGTGATGAACTTATATAAAAAAAAAAATCTTCAAATCTAGTGTTTCAATATCTCATTCGAAAGAGCTTATATGATATCACCCATACTCATGAAAACAGATACATTTTCGATTTCAAATATAACATGTTTGTAGAGAAAATAAATCTCTACAAGTCTACACTCTTTGAAAACAGTTTAGATATCATCTTACATATTCAAACGAGTGACTACAAGTGGACTAATGCATGATAAGTATATACATAAAAACCTACTAGTTCCAATTTTACAAACAAATAACTACATAGTAGAATAAGATTTCGCATACAGTTTATGCTGCTCTTTCTGATGTTATCTTGAAATTTCAAAATCAGTTTTGAGCCAGAATAAAATATTGCATGATATTAACTTATTCCTAGTATGTTACCAATATGCTCTAAAAACCACACTTGCTGATCCTTCTTCAAAAACACGAAATACAAAAACAATAGTTATCTGCGGGAAGACAAATTAACCCTTACTAAGTAGACTCTTATAAAGAAATGTTTAAGTTCAAACAAGTACGTAGAGAGTCATAAAAACAGCTTGTTGATCAATTGTGTGACGCTGAAAAATGAGAGGCTGTAATTAGTCTTTCAATGAAAACTGAAGAGACCAAAATTCTTGAAAACTTATACACACATTTTAGGAAATATATGGACTACAAGACAATACGAACAGAGGTAATCTGAATATAAAAGAAACAAAAAAAAGAAAAGTTCTTGCTGCTTGTTGATCAATTTTGGTTCCTATTGTGTGTATGCGATGTTTATATATTCTTTTTTTCTCATGTATATCAGAAAGCTTTTTCTCCGACGACAGTCGTTAGTATCAATAGTGTTGTCTTTTGGTTTTCATCGAGAAGAATACATGTAGAAAAATGCCAAAAGTAATAATTAAGCAATAAAAAGTATTATTGTAATATAAATATTGTTCTTCTTTCACAACAATTATCACGAAAATCAATGAAATAGATTTTTTTGTCTCAAGCATTTTCTCAATGCAAAAACTATTCTATTTTCTCTTTAACACTATTGCTGAAGAACAAGAAGCAAATATAAAATATATGCATAATTATTTTAAAAACTTTAGTTATAAGACGAAAGTGAGAAAATCCATATCAATAAAATTAGCACAGATATATTTGCTCTATAAAATAGAGCTAATATACCAGCTGGTAATTAGAGCTGATGCATGAAGTAGTTGACATGCAAAAATATAAGTGCGATTATTACCTAAATATCATAGAAGAGAAAAGACGACATAGAAGCTTTTATATTGCTCAGTATTACTATTGAAAGAAAAGAAAAGTTGATATAAATAAATATTATCGTACAAATATAGGCAAGACTCTTACTTATTTTTGTCGCAAATAGATTGGTAATATTACTGTTCAAATGACGACAAATGGATATTAGTTCAAACATAATAATATAAATGATGATGAACTTTTAAAATTTATCGTGTGTCAAGAATTACAAGAGAATAGATTATAGCAAGTAGAACATTCAAGAAATTTTTGATTACTTATGTTTTGAACAACATTGTATATGAAGAAAATTTTATTCATATTTATTATTCAAACTTCCATTATCACAGTGGAATAAATATGAAATAAAAATTTTATTCAAATAATAACTCTAAAAATACATAACAATCTTTCGAACAACAATTCAGCGAAAGATTGTGATGACGGACAAAGAAAGTGAACCAACATCATCTCCTTCTTACAAAAATAGTGGCATCACTACTTCATCTTGTTCTACTGGTGAATTAAATCTTTTTTCACATAACTCATTGTGGTCGTCAAAACTCACTAGCACTGAGCAGTTACTAGCTACTCGACTTTTTCTCATTCTTCTTTTTATTTCTTTCTTGGCAGTTATCATATGGGCAAGTCTCATCATACAAACACACGATGTTACTCTCAAAGAATTTTCTCTTGCCGACTTTGAACGGTTAGAAGCTCTTCATTCTGGTACTATCAATGCTCCGTGTACTCATGTATCCATTCCTCACGAAAAATTCATCCAGTTAACACCTCAATTTCATCAAATTTGTTCTAGTTCATTTATTGGTTCGGAATGGATTTCATCTCTCTTTCTCTCTAATGCTACTTCTCATAATATTCTTGATTTTCGTACCTTCGGTTTTGCTCAATTTCGTGCTCTCGCTTTACTCTGTCAAACCGCACGGCAAGCAGTGAATGATGCATATCATACGTATACCACCACTCGTTTGACCACCAGTCATGCACTTACACGTACTCAATTTAATCAAATGATCGTCGCTCTTATTAATAATTTCAAGCGTAATGTTGTAGTTAATGAAAAGCGCACGTCAAGAGTAGTCTCGATGAATATAGCATATAATAGATTGATTTCGGCATTACGTACTAACTATTATATTCAGTCAGTACCTGGCTCACGCCGTTACAAAACATACAATGGAGTCTATACGAAAGAAAATGAAACTGTTGCGTTTGTATGTGATTGTCGATTAGAAGGTCATCAATGTTTTTATCAAGCTGGTAGTTTTTATAATTGGACAATTCCACAATTAGGCAAACCAGCAAAATCGATTCCACCACCTCGCTTTCAGGTAAAAAAAGAACAGATATCTAATTATTTTCATTAGTATCACCATGTATTTCAAGAGATGGTGAGATGAGTAAAAATAATAAGACTTTTGACAGTTCTTGATTGTCTGTTGAAGTAAACATAAAAACAATTTCAAATTTCAAATGGTTTATGGATGTCTTTTTTTGTATCCATGAATGTACACATTGTCAAAATTTCCAAAGACTTATTTCTTTGACATCCAAAACAAAGAAGAGGCTTCGTAAATATTAAACTTTGGTGTTGCATTTTTCTATAGAGTAGGAAAAAAAAGTGTCACTTAAAAAGCATTGAAAACATTACTTGATTTATTTTATATTATATTTTCCAATTCATCTTAGATTCCAGGCCTGATGGCTGGTTGTCTGCCGCTTGAATCGATTCGTCAATCAACATTAGAATGTTTGTATAATCAATCATGTGTCAACTCATTGATTCTTCAACCTAAATTATCTTCACCGAAAGCTCTGAATATTTCTTTATCACGATTTCCGTTGACTAAAACAATCGGCTCAATGTTTGACGAATCACTTTTTGTCGAGTCTTGGTTTAATACATCCAATTTCAGTCAATATTTTGCTACTTGTGCACCTCAATCATTATCATATAGTTACAAAGGTCGATTTCATTTAGTTTTCATGTTTACTATATGTATTGGTGCATTTGGTGGATTATTTATCATTTGGGAAGTTATTACACCCGTTTTGGTGAAATATTGGAGTCGAATAAAGTCCAAAAGACAACAAAATCAATCGGCTACTCAATCAAAACAAACGGATATTGAACGAAATACTCAAAACACAGGTAAAATAAATTAATGCAAAAAAAATCATAAACAGAAAAATTATGGAAAAAAGATAATATCACATTGACTTCTAGATAGTGTTGCTCAACATCATCAAACAGAGCATAAATTTAACTTATTTTCATCTGATAATGAAAACAATAATAAGGAAGATCGTGTAGAAACTATTCATACACGTCTCTATATATCATTTTTATTGATTGGTCTTCTTATTGTTGCTTTATATTTTTCTTTCGTGAAACCTACACAAACATTTACAATTTTATTTCCAACTCTGGAGGAATTTAAACAATTGAAATCGCTTCATTCATCCAATCTGATTTGTCCTTGTTCTCGTTTATCAACTCCCTATGCTCAGATTACATCTGTGTCTCCTCAGTATCATCAAGTATGTTCTAGTGAATTTCTTCAAAAGCTTTGGCTATCATACTTTGGACGTGTAGAATTGAATATAGAAGACGTTAATTTTATCACACCTGATTTTCGGGTTAGTGGTCAATCATTTTTCGATTTTATTCGTAGTTTTTGTCAAACAGCACAAGACACTGTTGAAAATGCACTTCATGTATTTAACTCAACTCGATTAATTACTGTTGATGCTCTTTCACCTGAACAATTTAACAATCAAACAACGCAACTATTAAAAACATTTCAACAACAGACTATTGCTTCATTTCTTAACCTTATTAGTCTAGTTCGTTCATCTATACAAAATAATCAATTAATCAGTGAAATGTGGACTAATGTTGGGCCAAGATCAGTGTTTAATAGTGAAACATCAAATTGGTCGATTCGTTTTGCACCTCGAAATTTTTTTACTAATTCTTGCTCATGTGGTTTAAGTAATCAATGTAGTCGCCCTGTAGGATTTTATTTACAATCGGATAAAATACATTCTTCACCAAACACTACTGTGCCTGGTCTAGTTATTGGTTGTTTTCCAATTGATTCCGTTCTTTTATCTACTCTTGAATGTTTTTATGACCAGCAATGTATAAAACTCATCGTTGATATGTATGATTTTGATGTAGTCGATATGGTTCAACCATTGGACCATCGTGTTGCTAATATTCAACCACTTCATAAAGAGCAGAATAGTCGTTTTCCTCCCAATACTACGCTGGAATCAATTTTTTCGCAATTATTTATAGAAGATTGGATGCAAAATAGTAATTTCACAGCCTACTATACACATTGTGCACCCAAACAATGTTCTCATAGTATACGACAGCGTCATAATATACTTTTTATTTTGGTAATATTGCTTGGTTTCTATGGTGGACTAAGTGCAATTTTAGAAGTTATTTTACCATACATTGTTAAGAAAGTAAGACGGCGGACAGTAAAACGACAAGACGAGCAAGAAAATTCAACTTCTAATAATCTAGCATCAAGTAAGAAAGTTTCTGCTTAAATTATATTAGAAACATAAATTTTGAGAAAAAACTTGTAAAATTTGCGATTTTTATTTTTCTTGAAAAACTAAATTATTACAAATATATTTTTTCATATTCCATCGGTGGGAAAATATCTGCTTGTACTTTGTGAAGCAAATTACAGTATCAAGTTAAGCAGAAAAAAGCTCAATTGTTTTCACTGGAAATATGATTCTTTTGGCTCGATTGAGAAAGAATTTACGAGATACTTCTAGTTATACTATACCGTTGCAAATGAAAATTCGGCAACGTTGAAAAATATTAAATTTCAATGTGCAATATTTTTTCAAGTCCTCTCATTTATTATTTATTAATAGTGTTAAACATTATGTTATATTTAGTTAGTGATTATAAGTATTGTTAATTTTAGACACTTCCTCTAATCAAGCGGACAAACAAGTGAACTGTCCAAGATTTTTACCACGTCATATTTGTTTTCTCATTTTTGGTGTGAGTGTCTTAGCCAGTCTTCTATACCTCGTTTTGTTCAATCATGAAAATACAACTAAGGTAATTAAGTCTCCATCATTTGATACTTTCAACAATCTTCATAGTCGAAAAAGTTCTACTTTGTCATGTCCATGTTTAAATACAGCTGTGTCGCACTCGAAAATTTTGTCTATTATACCAAAGTATCATCCAATATGTTCCAGTAAATTAGTATCATCTTCACACTGGACACAACTATTTGAGAAAGGTGATAATATCTCATTAGTACTTAGTGCTAAATATCAGCTTTTAGCATCGTTATGTCACCATACTCAGCGCACCATTGAGAACGCTCAGTATGTGTTTGATACTCATGAACTGATTACTATGGAAACAATGACTCATTCTGCATTTGACAGTCAAATTGAAACACTTATTTCAACATTTATTGACGAAGTTTTAGCAGACTATCATCGAACACTTTCATTCATTATTGGTTCATTTGAAGTCAATCAACTATTAAACATGTTCACTGGTAATTGGCAATTAGATTTTACAAATGAAAAAGAAAATTATATTATGGCTACAAGACCACGTGTTTTCTCATCATCAAATTGTACTTGTGCCACAACATCTAATTGTATTGAACAGATTAGAGAAGATGTAATTAGTGGTTGTTTTCCATTTGATGAATTTCGTTTCACCAAATACGAGGATACATCACTAGATGAATTAAATAAAAAATTATTTGTAGAATCATGGCATAACCACAGTAACTATAGCGCGTATTTTGAAACGTGTCAACCGACAGAATGTCGTCATGTGCAATTCGATCGACATGATCTATTATATACATTGGTAACTGCGTTTGGTTTATATGGAGGTAAGACAATGAACTGATATGTTAGTTGAAGCTAGATCATTCTGTTTCAATTTTTCATAGGTTTAACGCATGGACTTCATTTAATCGTCGGTCAATTTTTATGTAGATATTGTAGACGAAAAAAATAAGAGAAGAGAGATGAATGCACAAGAATCCAACGACGTCAATGAATTCTTAAAGGCTTGAATGTGCTGCGTTACCCACAACAAAAATATTATTTTTCCTTCTGACACCTCATCAAAAATTCTTTCCTTTGTCTATTATTCATTTAAAAAAATATTGTTTTAGTTTTAGTTGACTTTTTTTAAATAGATGGGTAATATAAAATATTCAAGTCAATTTACATTGGAAGAAATTGCTTTACCATAAGACAATAGACAAAAATAAGAATCAAAGGTTACAGATTGAAAGTAAATGATATGCCTTGCTAAATTTGATATGATAAACAAAAAACTATTTTCGCAGTTTCGCTAAAACAAGATGAAGAAGTGTAGTTAACATCGATTATAAACAGTAGGCATTTCTACTAAGAATGGATGTTCTGCGTAACACCTTGATTTCATATATAGTCTCATTTATTCATGCAGCCGCCACAAAGATTACTAATCTTAATAATATTAGTAGGAGAGCAGCTCAAAATCTACATTTCTCTCCATAGTAATTCTAATTTTTCTATTAGTCAGCACACTTTATTCCATATAAGTTTTCATCGGCTTTATAATACTTTTACGCTTGCATATGAGTCGTTTCACGTAAGCCACGAGCAGAGCTCATCAATCGAAATTGTCAGGTTTTGCTCAAGTAAAGACATTATTATAAAAGGAAGAGTTGTTTGGATTTTAACGCAAATCTGTTGGAAAAATATTGAAGTCTGAATATTTTATAGTTATTTTACAAGTAACCTTAAAAATCAGCATTTCGATCAAGGGAAGTTTTGACGGAAGCATATCTCAAGAATGGCTTGATCAATTGAGCTGAAATTTTTTATAGGCATATATATCTGTATAATTTATCGATCAACATGAAATTTTCAACTCAAAATATTGAATACTTTATTTTTTTATGAAAGATCTGATATGGTCAACAATTCACATTTTAGGCACGTTCAGTACTTCATAATTCGTAATACAGATAAGATAGAGGTCTGAAATTTTTACTAGAGCTAGAGTTCATAGAGTGCGTGCATGTGAGTGCGAATGTTGGTGTCGGTATAAGGCAATGCAAAAATCGACAACCACTACGCCCTACCCTTTATATATATAGGAATGACCAGTCTGGCCGGATATCCCAATCCTTTTCTTTTAAGCTGTAGGTTCCATAGTATATCAGACTTTTATGAATTTGTTTACCAATTATAGTACTTGTATAGTGCTTACGATTTGTTGTTATTTCATTTATATATCGTATCTGCAACCAATAAAACCAAGAGTCTTTCTAAAACTTTCAAGTAAAATGAACTTTTATCGAACTTATTCACTTTGGTTTTTACCTGCTATTGAAAACAACTACATACTATTGTCAAACCTTTATTGGAAATTAACAATCAAGAATTATGGATAAAATATCATTGAAGCATAACTACGAATAGATCGTCTTCCTAAGTTAAGATAGCATAAAGCAGAAACAACATGTGCAGTTTTAATAATCTTATGGAAGTCATCATAACATCTCCTGTAAATGAATTAGTCCATTTTCGCCGAATTCCAACTTCTCCGAAAGAATTTTTCGCTCATTTAATGACCCTGAACCACACCCACACCTACACATACACACGCACTCACACCTATACCTACACCCACATGTGCACTCATTCCAATGTCTCCGTCAGCGAAAAATTCTTTCGGTGAAGTTGGAATTCGGCGAAAATCGTCGTCGGCGAAAAAAAAATTCGGCGAAAATTGAAATTACCGATTGAATGAAACCGAGCTATGTTGCTATATAACGTTCAAAGTGATAATACTTCAAATACTATAAAGTAATTGAAAGTAAATCTATGGAAGATAAAAATGCCATGTTTATACCTTGTTTATGTTATTGTTTTCTACTCGTACAATATTTTATGAATCATTAAATCACTCCTACTATATAATTGTTGTGCTTGTTCGATGTCATGTCCCGTATGGTCTGTAAAAGAATTATTATTACGACTTCGCTTTAACCATAGATGTTGATCTACAATAGAAAAAGCAATAAAAATATCATAAGGTTTTGTTATTGTGTACTTGAAATAAACTGCATCATGAAACAGAAGTTTACAGGCAGACTAAATAGGTGAATTTCGCTTACCAACATATAGCATTTGAAGTTCTTGGAGATTAAAAATCTGTTGCTCTTTCTTTAGATGTTGTCTTTTTTGTTCAAGTTTCGGTGAACAATAATTACATCTATCACGATGTCGATAATAATTAGTGAATAAACCAAATTCTTTAGAAGTAATACATCTCCAAATTAACGTTGATTGACAACGATTGAAATGTTTACGACAATCATTAATACTGACTTGATATTGAGGATATTCCATTTAATTTGTGACGAAGAGACAATTATAAGAGGGTGTAGCTGATTGTATTTCTTTATTTAAAGCATTTCAAAGTCAAAGAAAGCAACAAATGAAAAAAAGAAAATCGAATATATATTACGCAATCGCAACACAATCATATGTGGAAATGAATCATGTATTCAACGTGTTCAGCATAGATATGAATGTAAGAACGAGAGAATATTTGACGAAGAAAAGATATTTTTCTCTTGGTCAGTCCCTTTGATAATGATTTACATATTTTGAAGATACCTACGTACAACTGTCATGTTTTAGCTTTTAGTTGTTGTTGACGCACCGAGTTTAGGACTGTTGTCGATTATTAAGCCTTTCTAGTACAAATTCCTATAGTCGATAGGTAGTAATACATCTACAAAGCCTGTCACTATTATGGAGTTATCACCCTGTTGAACTTGTATATTATTAAGTTAGGACCATAGGAATAGAACCCTAAACAGCTGGGAAAATGTTATAATAAACAGATAGGTTTGATAAAAGTTCATATTACTAAAAGGTTTTAGAAAGGCTCTTGATTATATTGATTTCCGACAAGATTCATAGTCCAAACAAGACACGTTAGCACTGTACGAGTACAATAATTGGTAAAAAAATTATAACATTCTAATGTACTATAAAATCTACATGTTAGGAAAAGAGTTAGAGTAATCGGCCAAACTGATAATCCCTCATATATTCAGTTGAAATGACTGATGATTTATTGAATGAAGATAAATCTAAAGAAAAAAGAAAATCAGTTTATATAAAATGAACTTTTTTAATCTCTAGATCTATTTCAATTGAACAATTCTATGGTAAGATCAACTGGATATATAAAATATTTTTTTATTTTTAGATTTATCTTGATCTAACATTTTAATATTAAGCTCATCATGACTATGAAGATTTTTTTCCTTACATCTATTACATATACTCAGCTGAGCGAAGCCATGATTTGTGGCAACAAGATACGTCTAAAGAAAAAAGCAAATCATGTATACGTACAAGAATTTTTTTATTGTGTACATTTATCTCAAATGGACGATTTGATGATAAGCTCAATTGGCTATATAAAATGTTTTTTTTATCTATAAATTTATCGTAATTCAATAACGTAATGGCAAGTTTAACTCTATAATAAACTTTTTAATATACTCTTGCAAAGAGTTTATGAAAATTTTAGAAACGATAAACAAAAGTTAAGTCTACATTGCACTTTCATCAATTCTTTAAGGGGGTTATCATTATTAACAAGATGGGTTTAAAAAATAGCATTATAATAAATATAACTTTCTTTTGTAATGGATGATCATCCATGAGAATTGTAGTTAGCTTTTGTAAATAACGTTGAACATCTTCCAGTTGCAAATGAAACACTGAACGTGTGACGTTAAAGTTTATATCAGCTATATAATAATGAATACAATAGAAAAATCCAATGAATGATCAAGTATGCTGTAAATGACTGTCTAGCCATGACAAAACTAGCTCATAATATTCTCAAAGTTATAGTAAATATAAGAATACATTAAATTTAGTTAAAATGAATGAGCAATTATTATCATGTTTTTTTCTATCATTCTAGTGTAATGCAGCATCAACGATAGCAGACCAGTGTCTTTCATTTCTAAATTAAATGTTGGTTTTTTGAGTTTTTTTATACGTTAATTGTTGTATTTTTTTCTTGTATTACATATATTGTATCATTCTAGTTCTTGTTATTTAATTGAATTCTAATAGTAATTATCTTTTTTTTCATTTTGGATGCATATTATACTTTTGTGTGAAGAAAAAAATAGCTATGGATGAGTCAACATCCATTTTTCAATTGCTAGAAGTAGTCAATGTTATCGAGAAATGCTCCAAGTTTAAACAGCAGAAACAAGTACAGCAAGATCATATCAATTTATTGACATTAGATTCATTTCAACCTTCAAAGTTCTGTAACATCTATCTGCTTCATTGTTTAAAATCCATAAATCATATTTTAGCTTTCATGCAACAAATTGATAAACTGATGACGGTTTCAATCGACACAGAAAATGATTCTGAAGAAGAAAAAGTGATAGTAATTAAAATAAAAATAATACAAATACAACAACTTCATTCAATAGTCTTATTATTTGAAATATTATCTTCAACAATTACAAATACATAACTATTCTGAACGATATAAACATTATCAAAGACTATTTTTCTTCCATCCCAAAACTATTTGTTTGGGTCAATGATAATAAAGATCTCCATACATTTTTTCTCCATAGGGCACCCTATCATTTCGTCCCCTTACACTACGTCCCATTCATTTCGTTCTTCACTCATTTTGTCCCTTTTCATTTCGTCCCATACACTTCGTCCAAAACTTATTTTGCCCCGTTACACTTTGTCTCTACTTTTTTGATATGATTAGCTAACTTTAACGAAAGAGAAACAGAAAAGAAAAAAAATTCACACTGAAATCTTGTTCACCACATAAAGCTGTTCTTCTTTGCTATTTAATCGAGGGGCTACCGGGACTTATTTTTTTGGGATTTATTTCTTCTATAGGATTTATTTATTTAATGGGGATTTATCGGAATTTATTAACTGTATCAAGATTTTCGTGCATCCTCACTCGACTGCTGCCCCTTCGCCCTCACCCTCATCATTGCCTTTCCTCTCACCCTCGAGATAGTGCGGGATTTATTCAAAAACGTATATGGATTTATTAAAAAATCCCAATAAATCTCCCCCAAAAAAATCCCGGTAACTGCTGATTTAATCAAGTGTTGCTATCTATACGACCGATGGGTGATATTGAAATTTTGAAGAGTAAAAGAGGAAATCCGATTGT